TCAAAATGCTAATAGTAGTATGGACAATGAAGTCCAGGCTAACAAGGTCTCAGATGGAGATGAAGAACTTATTGGGAACTGGAGCAAAGGTCACTTTCGTTAAGCATTAGCAAAGAGGTTAGCTGTACTGTGCTCCTGCTCTAGGGATCTGTAGAAATTTGAACTTGAAAGAGATCATTTGGCTGGGCACAGTGGCTCATGCCTGTAATCCCAGCACTGTGGGAGGCCAAGGCAGGCAGATCACGAGGTCAGGAGATCAAGACCATCTTGGTTAACATGGTGAAACACCGTCTCTACTAAAAATACAAAAAAAAAAAAAAAAAATAGCCGGGCATGGTGGCGGGCACCTGTAGTCCCAGCTACTCCGGCGGCTGAGCCAGGAGAATGGTGTGAACCTGAGAGACAGAGCTTGCAGTGAGCCGAGATTACGCCACTGCACACTCCACCCTGGGTGACAGAGCGAGACATCGTCTCAAAAAAAAAAAAAAAAAAAGAAAGAAAGATGATTTAGGGTATGTGGCAGAAAGGAATTTCTAAGTAGTAAAGTGTTCAAGATGTAGCCTGGCTGCTTCTATCAACCTGTGCACATATGTGTTAGCAAAGAAATGACCCGAAACCAGAACTTGTATTTGAAGGGGAAGTAGAGTGTAAATCTGAAAAATGTGCAGCCTAGCCATGTGGCAGAAAAGAAAAGCCTACTTTCTGGGCAGGAATTCAAGCAGCCTGCATATGTTTGTATAACTAAAAGGAAGGAAAATGCTGATAGCCAAGAAATTGGAAAAGGCCTCATAGGCATTTCAGAGACCTTTGCAACATTCCCTCCCATCACAGGCTGAAGTGCAGTAGGTCACAGCCCACTGCAACCTCAAATTCCTGGACTCAAGTGATCCTCCTGCCTCAGCCTCCCAAATAGCTGGGACTATAGGTACATGCCACCATACCCAGCCAGTGAAACTTTTTCTAATAAAGAAACCAAAGCAATTAAAATAGAAACCAAATTAAAAATCTAATTTAATATACTTATGACTTCAAAAACAACTTGAATACGATAAATTGAAAAGGTTCTGAATATGATAAACACTATCAATTAAAAAAAACTATAGAAACTTCTCCTAAAAAAGTAACATATAAGAATAAAGAAAAGGATCCATATACATGGGCAGAAAAAGTCAAGTGACCTACAAAAAAAAAAAAAGCAATCAGTAGGGCCACAGATTATATCTCTACAACAGTAGATGCCAAAGAAAATGAAGCATCAGCAATTTTGAAGACTAATGGCTCAAATCCAATAAATTTACGCCTGGTTAAATTGTCCTTACTACAAAAGAAACAAAAATCTCCTTGAATATGCAGGAGCCCAGAAAATAGGTCACCCTCATAAACATTATTATATAAAAAACAACAACAAAAACCTTGAAAGTGTACTACTCTCTCTTCCTGGGAGATTAATCCAAATTAAGAGCTCAAGAAAGGGGCCACTTTTACATAGAACTGGGTGTCACTGTCTTCTGTGACTATCAATAGGCACACACCTGACTCACTACAGGGTTCTGGGGAGACTCTTTGTCTTGGCAAATGGAATCTGATGTAACCAGCCATGATAATGAATATATAAGAATATGGAAAACTTGGCAACCTTACAATGACATTTTATTAAATCTAAATTTTAATGTGAATTATATATTACTCAACATGGGGTTATATCCCCCCCAAAATTGCTCTGATTGAAAACCTCAGGCAAATTTACCAAATTCTGGTATCTAATTCAACATAACTGCATCCTCCTGCTTTAAAAAGCAAACACTTACCCACATTTAGGTAGAAAAGACTGGAACAAATATATCAAAATAATAAAGCAGTTTCCTTTGAGTAGTGGAACTATCGCTTCTTGGCCTTTTGGCTAAGATCAAGTGAGTAGTGGAACTAGGTATTGGTGAGTTTTCCTCTTTCAGCTTTTCTATGGTTCCAAATAAACTTTTATAAACAGGTAATTTTATATTTAAAATATAGTTTTTATTTTTAATATAGCAATACTGTTTTCCTCATTCTTATCTGTAATTGAGTGATACATTTTGAGAACAAATTCAATCTTTCATTTCAATTATCATTCTTCTGTTAATTCTTTAATGTAGAAATTTCTTATTGATCTAATTAATTAAGTGGCAAATGCTGACAACATAACAGAATTTAAGGTAGAAGCAAATCTATTTTTCCACAAAAAATATATAGACAGTCAAAAACAAGTTATATTATCAGTTTTCACTTATACTTGATCTCCTTTATGAAGGAAAAAGTAAAAAACAATATATAAAGAGAATGAAAAAGTTAGCAAGTGCTTTTCCCATTCTTCTCTTTAATGAATACTAAAGCAAAACAAAACAAAAAAAAAACCCTAAAACTAAAATCATAAGACCTGAGACTATGAATGATAATAGCTAGCATTTATGTGTTTACTACTAATCGAATATGATGCTAAGAAGTCCTTGACTTGCATTAATTAGTTCATTTAATTTAACTACAATCTATAGTGGTTGTTATTGCCATTTTATGGCTGACAGTTCTGAGGTTTAGGAAAATGTAATTGCCTTATTAAAGTTAAATAGTCAGTAAATAATTAAACCAGGGATGTATTTATGAGTCTATAGCCAAATTCAACCACTATACCACATTGCTTTTCACATATTAAAATAACCCTGGTAATTCTTAGTGCCTTAAGGTCTTTGGTGGTAAAACAAAATTAATTATTTTGTTCTGTCCTGAAGAAACATATAATAATGAAGAAAATACAACGCATTAAAAGAGTGATGAAACTGAAGAGATATTGCTACTGTTGACCTAAAAAATACTGAGGCAAAATTAATATAGAGAGTCCATTTGGGCCAAGGTTGAGGACAGCTGTTTGGGACAGACACACTTCCAAGCTGTCCTAAGGAGTATTCTGCTCAGCTTTTGCTACAAGATTTTTTTAAAGGCAAAAGGGGACAAGAAGTGGGCTGATACAAAGTTTTTTGACAGGAGTTCTCATAGTTTTACAGAAATAACATTGATTTGTGATTGGCTATACATTGTTGAACCACAGGGAATGAGGTACGGTGTCCAATGTATGGTGTTTTATGGCTACTTCATGTCAGTTAGCCTAGAGCCCACACAGCAAGTGGCCTCAAGAGGTAATTATTTAGCTCAACAGGGGAGTGAGACACGACTGCTGTCACACCCTGTCACATTCCAATGCCTCTCTGGGCCTGATAATTAAAGGGCACTCACATTCCTCAGATAAAAAGTTTCTTGGCTGGGCACGCTGGCTCACACCTGTAATCTCAACATTTTGGGAGGCCAAGGCAGGTGTGATGATTAACACTGCGTGTCAACTTGATTAGATTGAAGGATTCAAAGCATTGATCCTAGGTGTGTCTTTGAGGGTGTTGCCAAAGGAGATTAACATTTGAGTCAGTGGGCTGGGAAAGGCAGACACACCCTTAATGTGGGTGGTCACCACCTAATCAGCTGACAGCAAGGCCAGAATATAAAGCAGGCAGAAAAACGTGAAAAGGCTAGACTGACTTAGCCTCCCAGCCTACATCTTTCTCCCGTACTGGATACTTTCTGCCCTTGAACATCAGACTCCAAGTTCTTTTGTTTTGGGACTCAGAATGGCTTCCTTGTTCCTCAGTTTGCAGATGGCCTATTATGGGTCCTTGTGATCACATGAGTTAATACTTAATAAACTCTTCTGTATACATATATCTATCCTATTAGTTCTGTCGTTCTAGAGAACCTTGACTAACACAGTAGGTGGACTGCTTGAGCCCAGGAGTTTGAGACCAGTCTGGGCAACAGTGAGCCCTCACCTCTACAAAAATAAAATAAAATAAAAATTAGCTGGGCATGGTGATGTACACCTGTAGTCCCAGCTACTCGGGATGCTGACATGGGAAGATCGCTTGAGCCTAGGTGATCAAGGCTGCAGTAAACCATGATTGCACTACTGCACTCCAGCCTAGGTGACACAGCGAGACCCTATCTCCAAAAACAAACACAAACAAACAAAAAGAAAGTTTATTTTCTTTCTCAAGACAGACTTCTAAAAGAGCAGTAGACCTGACTAGAGCCAGGACAGTAATGAAGACTGAATTCAGGCAGTGTCCAGCATGGTACCTTTGCCTTGGCATCCTCTGGATCATCTCCCTTGGAAGCCAGCAGCATGAGTCGCAGGACCAGGGTTATGCTGAGAGGGAACTGTTCTCTCAGCTCAGGAACACCGGATGCAAGGAGTCTTTTTATTTTGGGCAATGGGATATCAAAGAAATATACATTTCCAAGCAGGTCTTGACCTCTTCTTCCAGCACGGCCAGACATCTGGAAGCAGCAAAGAATCACAATGTAAAACCTCCCCAAATAATTTCCTATGAAGTCCAAAGATCTATGACTTTACACTTGTTATCCGGGGTTGTGTTAAATTGTGCATTTAGTCCTGAAACTAATCTATGTTAACATGGCACTTAAAAATTATAGTGTGGCTGGGCCAAAGAGATAATGAGGCATTGTGATATATATTTGGTCTTCGGCCCCAGTTGCTGGCATATGACTCCTAAAATCCTCGGACTCTCTAATATCTTTGTATGTGAATAAGTTGGCTGATGGCTGGCAGTCTCTAGGCAGCTTCAGGATGGCGACTGGTCACCAGAAAGACGAAGGCATGATTACAGGAATGGGACTTTCAGCCCCTCCTCGCAATTTCCGGGGAAGGGAGAAGGGCTGAAGGTTAAGTTGATCACCAGTGGCTAATGGTTTAATTCATCAGGCCCGTATAATGAAATTTCCATAAAAACCTAAAGGGACTGTCTCAAAGAGCTTCCAGACAGCTGAATATATGGAGGTTCCGGGAGGGTGGTGTGCCTGAGATGGCATGGGAGTTCCATGCCCCTTGACCTATACCTTGCCCTCACAGCTCTTCTTGTTTCCTTTATAACATCCTTCATAATGAACTGATAAACAAAAGTGTTTGAGTTCCATGAGCCACTCCAGCAAGTTAACTGCACCCAAAGAGGGGGTCATGGAAACCCCAACTTGAAGCCAGTTGGTCATAAGTTGCAGAGGACCGGACTTGTGACTGGTGTCTGAAGAGGAGGCAGTCTTGGGGACTGAGCCCTCGATGTGTGGAATCTGATGCTATCTTCAGGTCAGTAATGCGGAATTGAATTGAGCTGCAGAACTGACTGCTCACTTGGTGGTGAGCACAAATCCCCACACATCTGGTCACAGAAGTCTTCTGTGTTGATTGTAGTGATTATTAGAAAGTGAGATAATAGAAAAAGCAGTTTGCGTTTTTCCTCATGTTCAGAGGCAGCGTCGTTAACAGATATTCCCTATCATGCAGACAACTGTATTAGGGATTGTAAGATGATATGTAAAAGAAACTTACAAATGGAACCTGCTCTCAAGGAGCTTAGAGTCCATAAACCCCCAACTCTTTCTCACCACACACAGACAAAGAGAGGGAGAGAGAGAGGGAGAGAGAGAGAGGGAGAGAGAGAGGGAGAGAGGGAGGGAGAGAGGGAGGGACGGAGAGGGAGAGGGAGAGAGAAAGAGGAATAGAACTAGAGAGTGGCTTAAATAGGGAAAGTTTTCAGCCTTGTTTTCAATCAGACCCCTTTTTGCAAATGAAGGATTCAAACTTCTTCAGTTCTGCTTGGTTGAAATAGTTGAGTCCTGACTGGGTGGTTTCAAGCTCCAAACCAGAAGAGTCTGCTGGATGTTTCTTTCAAACAGCTGGAAGTGGGGAATTCCAACCACACTTGGCACCACCAACAGCAACTGTTCCCTATTTAAGCCATTTTCTCTAACTCTTTTAACAAATAGAGTTAAAAGTAATGAAATTTTAAAAGTGTGCCTAAGCCTCTTGAGATACAAATCAAGTAAACTTATTGAAAGAGACAACATTTTGAAAGGCTTTGTGGAAGAGGTATGTCAAGGACCAACTAATTGCAGAAGAAATAACAGCCATTTATTCAGTGCTTAATATGTGCTAGGCCCTTTGTATAAATTAGTTTTAGGCAGTCGTCATAATAATCCAGTGAGGTAGAGAGTATTGTCAATCCCATTTAAAGATAAAGAAGGACTTCTAATGTGATTTTGAAAAAAAAAAAAGAATAAGAAGAAGAACAAAGATGAGAAAACTGAGCACAGAGAACTTAAGTAACTTAGCCACAATCCAACAACTGAGAAGTAGCAGATTCAACTAATCCCTGATTTTTTTTTTTTATCAAAGTCATGTCCCCAAGGACCACGTGAGCCTGCCTCTGGGAATCCTAAAAATGAGATTCCTGAAGATTACATGGTAGACAACCCATGCAAAAAAATGACACCAGAGAAGAGAGCAAGAAGACAGAGATTAGAACAATGGTTAGAAACAGTAAGAAGATTAGATTGATCAGGACAAATGTTCATGAGCATAAGAATATACATATTTTAGATAGAGAGCAAAAGGGATTTTGTTGATAAAGGGCTTGAATATTGCCAACATTTCTATATTTGATCCCAGAGTAGAATTAGCCATCAAATGTTCCCTTGCCAGAAAATGACATGGAGAAAAACGATGCTATCTATCATCTGCGGCACAGAATAGAATATGGGCAAATGATAACCCAGAGGACTGTTAAAGTAGGCCCCTGGCCAACAGACAGAATGGATTCCTGTGGCTGAGGTGCTCAAAGTCAAAACAGAACTAGGTAGCCACAGCAGGGTGAGGGAGTGGTCATGCACGCTGTGTTCTCAGAAACAGGTAAAGGTGTCAAAGGACCCTTCCTACAATCAAGCCAAACCAGCTGCTGTTGGTGGTGCTAAGATAAACTGTGGTTGAAAATCTCCACTCCTAGCTCTTTGAAACATCTGATGGAAACTTCTGGTTCGGAGCTTGGAAACCTTTCAGTCAGGGCTCAACTATTCCAACCAATCAGAACGGAAGAAGTTTGAATCCTTCATTTGCAAACAAAGGATGTGACTGAAAATAAGGCTGAGAACTTTCCTTATTTAAGCCAGACCCTCCCTTTGTTCTTTGAAGAGCCCACTTTCACATACAGTAAAGGCTGAGTTTCTCCAATCTCCAGATTGTTTTTTACAGAAAATAAAACTCTGTTTTGCCTCTGCAGATCTCATGTCCTTTTGTTAACACTCTTATAATAGCCCTGGGTAAAGAATGAAGGAAGGAGGATGCTGGCTACAGAAATCGTGAGACAGAAATCTGAGGGCACCACTGCAGAAGAGTAATTGGATGACTTTTGTAATAGATTAAGCATCAAAAGCAAAGGAGAGAGAAAAGCATTAAAGATGATTCCGGAGTGAAAAAGTATGCACAGTAAATGAAGAAGGAAATGTTTATTAAGGACCTTCAATGTGTCTCTTTCCTATTTCACTTAATCCTTACAGAGGCTGTGGGGTAGTGATTATCACAGCCATTCTGGAGATAGTGAAGGAAGATCCAGCAGTTCAGATATCTCACCTGAAGTCTCACATCTGTTTGGCAATAATCACCTCATGTCGGCAGATTTTCCATGATCATGGTTTCCATTATACCACCACAACTGAAAATGACAGCCTAGCATAGATGGATGCACATTGTACAGAAGAAATCATCAGTGCCACAAATACCTTCAGCATCTCTTGTCATTCCTATGCTAATTGTTATTTGAGATACAAATTCCTTAATGGAATTTACAAGAGTACATAACAAGAACAGTGAGAGAACAAGCGCAATCACATTTCCCCAAAGCTGGAGTAATCAAACAAGACTTCAAAGAAAACACATGAGGACAGTTCAATCAGATACTTGTAAAGGGGCTATGATTTCAATCAGGGGAAAGAAGGGAAAGTCTCTAAGAGGAAGAAGGAGAGCAAAGGTCCTGATGAATAAGGCATAGCAGAAATGAGAGGTCAGTTACTAAAACAATTTGTGCCAGAAGGTTCTCACTAGGAAAAAACAAGAAATAAATATATATATTTTTAAAAATCACATGGTGATCAGGATGCAAAGGGCCCTATTAATAACAGCTGGCATTCATCGAGCACTTACTATGTGCCGGGCACAGTTCTGAGTGGTGTACATTTTTCAGATAGTCCTCATAATAACCTTCTGAAATATAATCATTGTCACCATCGTACAGATTGAGAAACTGACACCTGAGAAATTAACTAACGTGTCCGTGGTTGAACAGCTAGTAAAGAGTAAGGTCAGATTTAAGCCTAGGGAATCTAGGACCAGCTCCCCTATGTTAATCCTTATACACACTCCTTCAGAAGCACTGTGAAGATCTAGCACATAGGTATCTGAGGCAAGACTTGAGCCAGGCCACCAGGGGAGGGGCAGGGCAACAGGCTGGTTTGAATGTAGGCAGAATCAAGGTAACTCTGACATGGTGGTGAAGAGGCCCAGGAAAGGATACCAAGAGACTGTGAAAGCAATAAGGGCATTCTGATGACTAGAGAAATCCCAGGCTTATGCCAATAAGGAGACTTCTGGAGACCCTGGGAGGCAGTGAATGTGTTTTTGCTTATGGGAGAGAAGTGACTCATTAGGACCCAGGCAGCAAACTAGAGTAGGCAGCTTTCTCAGTGGCTGCTCCCAGTGATTCTAATAATCACAGCTTCCTGCTGCTCACAGTCTTGTGTAATCTGCTCTCCTTGATTGTTGAAGAAAAGTCAGGAATGTGAAGCTAACAAGTATTCTCTTTATTTTACAGGCAATAAAGTCCTATGAAGATTGAGTAACATGAGGAAGACACCTAGGAGCAGGTCATGACATGTATTTGACTCATAATAAATGCCATTTGAAGGAATGTATAAATGAGTATACTTTAAACGACAGAAAATGGAAAGACCAAAAGGAGAAAACGGCATGTTAGCAGAAAGTCCACATCATTTTTTTTTCAATTAACACAGTAAAGCATATTATTTGCTTTAAAGACCTAATATAAAATACATAGTTCAGGGGTCTGTATTACCCACGGTGCTAGGAAAAATCACACTCCCATGAGACTAGATTCCTCTATCAAAAAAGAGCTAGAAGGAAGGAAGATGCATAGCTTCATGCCTCCTATTCAAATAGATCTAGAGAAAGAACAAGATTTTGATACAGCTGGACAAAGTCACTGAAGTCAGTTCCTGGGAAACCAGCTTTGGAGACTGAATTTTCTATTTATATTTCTAAATAATAACTTACCTGTTGAGTGAGAAATGTAAATCCACAGGTAGATTTTCTTTTTTAAAACTTTTAAGTTTAAAACATAGTAAATGCTTACTTCTAGTTGGAAGATGTGTCAAAATACTGAGGTGAAGTCAAAAAAATGACAGCTAAACTAAGGCTGTAGCTATAAGATCATGACTAAACTGAAATGTATGAAATACTTTTGGTACAAAAGTGCAAGCAGTAGAACTAACATTTTCTGGTTCTCATCATACGACACATCCTTCTAGACAAATTGTAAATAACATGGAAATGCATTTCTGATTTAAGTGCATTTCTCTAAACAGGGGCAACCTGACATTTGGGATGATTAGGCGGTTGTTGAGGGGTTTAAGTGCAAGGTGTAATTCCCAGAAAGGCCTGCCACCTGACCCTTGAGAAACAAACAAAATCCATTCACAGAGAAAATATATTTTATTCTGTCCTAGGAGATAATGCTAAGTCATTAGGGCAGGATAACAAAGTAGTTCCACTTTCATTATGGTCCATAGTAAATAAATGATGTTGGATTTCTTCCAAACAAGTGATTTTGGCAAGGAAGAGATAAAAGGAGACCATAATTCTGAAGGAAACAAAAGTCCCTTAAGAGAAACTTTGCTCACTACATGAAAAGGAGAAAGACTGAAAAATTCCAGCTCAGTGACTTTCTGTTTTTCCTAACAGCACATGGGAAAAGGTGAAATGGTCCACAGCTATACTTGGGAAAAGGAAAATATGGCTTTTAAGGGTGAAACAGCAACATCCTAAAACGTCATGAAATGGAGATAAACTCCTTTTCTCGGTAAAATCACAATCTTCACATTCCAGTCTAGGAGAGTTCACATGATCTACATTTGAATAAGAAAAGAGGAAAATTTCAAGAATAACCAAAATGAAGAAATTTATATTTTATAATTTATCTTTCATATTTCGAGACTAGGAAAAAACTATTGTCAGGTGTTTTTTTTTTTTTAGCAGTGTGTAGAGAGGAAGTAATTTTTCTCCCCTTTGACTTGCAATATATACCACATATAGGATGTCACATAAGGAAATGAGAAGACGCTCAGGTATAACATCTTTCTCTTTGTGTCTAAATCTCTGTTATACAGCCCTTCTCTTTTATTTTTATTTTTCTCACTCTCAAACTTGTTTTTCTTTATCTCTCTTTCCTCCCTCGCCTTATAAGACAGATATATTTTTATCCTTGATTTTTAAAAAGTTATCTAGAGACCTCCAAGTAACATTTCTCACTGCAGAAACTCCACTAAAATGATAATGAAGACATTTTTTTTAAAAAAAGCATAGACCCCCAAGAAGGTGAATGGTATTAAAGTTTTGGAATTTGGAAAACAAGTAGTCAATGGCTCCCAAATACTCAATACTTAAACTTGAAGTAAGGAAGTCAAAACCTACCTAATTTAAATGACAGGATTCCCAAAAGACCCAGGAGTTGATAATACCAAGTGCCATACACAGAGAAAGGCAAATTAAAGGAAACAGATAATGCAAAGAATTTCAGACCATTTTACATACTCCCAGAAAAATAAAATAAAGGAGCACTATAAAGGATCGAGAATCAGAACAGCTGTATATTTCTCAAGAAATATAAAAACTACACTAAAAACTAAACTACATTAAGATTATTAAGCCAATAAACGCAAACTGTGAGAAAACAGTGAAACAGATAAACCACACAACATGAAGCAACAAGATCTCAGGCCACTCAACTCAAAAATGTTATGCCACATAGGAAGTAAAAGGAAGGACACAAGCTGTAGCCTGTTACCAGATGCGAGTGCCACATGGTTCATTATTTCACACTCAGCCTTCAGCAGTGGGAGTTAAAGAGTCAGAGAGTTACCTGTCTGTAATTTAAAGCATCCAGATAGACTGAGTCTTGAGCAAACACAACAGATTTGCATGGCATGTGGATCCCTGAGGCAAGTGTTCCAGTAGCTGTCACTACCTAGGAAAAAAAAAAAAGAAGAGTTCATACACAATATAGCATCTCTATAAGGAGACAAGGTCTATTTTCCCCTCCAGTCACTGAACAACTCTTAGAGCTTTAATAAACCACATATCATTAAAACTAACATACTAGCCCCACTGTTCTTGCAGCTGCCTGAGTATTCAAAGAACACTGCTACTTCAGCATCCTAACTGTTGCCATTTGCTCGCCCTAAAATCATTTTCTCCAAATCTCCATTTGCAGGCTTTTTCTGATCTCTATATAAATGTACAAAAAGACTTCCTGCACCACCATTTCTAAAATAACCACGTTTACTTGTCCCTCCAAGACCTTAAGTATCATGAGGACATGGGCATTGATCTCTCTCAGCCACTGCTGTACCCTCAACACCTCGAAGAGTATTGGACACACAGCAGATGCACAATAAACATGTGTCCAATAAATGCATGAATGAATGAAGAACTAGCATACAAATTTTCCTTAAGATGGGGTAATAATGTATATTCTGGACAACCACCTTCTCTCATTCTCATGTTTGTTTATAGAGGTTTTATCCAAACAGATAACTGATCTAATTAATTGAAGCATAATAAAGTGACATTTTCTTTATTTACTTTCTTAATATCCGTTATGTGCCCAATCACCTATTTAGTGCTAGGTGCATATAGCTGCTCTCTCTTCCTGTCAAATACATTAATATTAACCTGTGTCATAATTATTTCAATTATTTAATGATGAAGAGTAAGCAAAAAGACTTTCTAATTGATATTTATAAACCCATCCAAATTCAACCCATTATTTGCTCATCTTTAAAAGTTCATCAATAAAAAGGAAAGGCTCAAATCACTAAACTTTAGAATTTAACCATAATGAGTACCATTAAAAAAAAGATGTGTTCTGGCCAGGTGTAGTGGCTTACACCTGTAATCTCAGCACTTTGGGAGGCCAAGGCAGGTGGATCACATGAGGTGATACCACAGCTATACTACTTCATTATAAATATTATTTTTCAGTGTATAAATAATTTTTAAACACCTCTAATAAATGGGATAGATGGAGAAGCAGAACAGTCCAGCGAGTTGTAATAAAAAGACACTGGTTAAATGAGAAAAACAACTGGTATAATTTTTTACCTTTTACTGGTTATCCAGCATCATATATGCACAACTTTATTTTTTTAACGCAAAGAAATGTACCTACCCTAATAAGCCCTTTTACAAAGAGTATCTCAACAAACTCTTTTTCTTTAAAATACATGCCGCTGTGATGATATCCAATCCCCCTTTGTGCTAAAGCCTTCAGTTCTTTGCCGTTTCTTGTTAATCGCACTCGTTTTAATACCCTATCCAAAGTCTAAAACAAGAGAGAAGTGTAAAACAATTGATCATGTATTTTATTTAATTTCAAGCTCAATCAGAATCACAGGACATTTTCATGAACAAATCACTTACATCTTGCACACAGTGAGGCTTCCCTTCGACCCTGAACCTACATGTTTTATGACTACAGAAACAATCTGCCCATTTTTGTGAACAGACTATCTCAGAGAAGAGGCACTTATAAACCAAAGGCGAAGATGCTATTGGAGCAGCAGATCAAACGCCCAGGACAGATGAGTAACCGATCTGCTGCTGCCTCAGAGAGAGAGACTAGTTCTCTACTGGAACCTTGAGATTTTCGAGCAAAGAGAGAGAGACTTCTCCAAGAAGGCAGAGCAAGATCTCTACTCTGGACGCTCAGAGAATTCTTACTTCTCACTGTGAACCACTCAGAAGTCATATCCAACCCCTTTAAAATGTCCATACCCTCACAGCCTCACTTCTAAGAATGTATCCTCAGGAGGAAATCCAGCAGTTGGCAAAGATGTCAAAGGTAAAAACGTATTACAAGAACAAGAAAAAATAATAAAAAATAGCCTATGCAGCCTAGAGTAAGACAACTGGTTACATAAACTATAGTCATCCACATAAATATACACTATGAAGCTATTAAAATAATAACGTAGCTCTATTGTCGGCAAGAAATAAATAGGTAACAGAGGAAAGGAGATTACAGACTAATTTGTATATAACATGGCCTATCTTATTAACAAATAAATACACAGAATGTCTATGTGAGTGTGGACATGCTTGTGACTACAGGCAATAGAAAAAAAATATCTGATAGAACAGTGAGTCTCTCTGAGCTGTGACATTATTTTTATTTTCTATTTTCAAGTACTTCTCCAATGGACATAAATTACTTGCATAATAAAAAATGTTTAAATGCCATACTATCCTTGGATATTTCAGTACCTGTTTAATAAAATGTTTTGAATGTTATATAGAAGGTCTCTGAAATTGAAACTTTCAGTTGATATTATTTAAAATATATTGTGTCATATAAACCCAAACATGACCAGTATTAAAATATATCGAATTGAATTCTAGAATCAGGCTATAAACTAATCCAGGATAATAGAGTGAAATAAAATAAGAGGCTGACATTCACAATGAGCAAGGAAGAGTCACCTATAGAACTTCGGCACATTAAATTGGGATAATCATTGCAAAACAGACAAAATAATACACAGAGATAATCATATTTCAAAGGTATTACAAAAGTCATTTCAGTGTTCAAAGATATTAAACAATCACTATGATAAAATGT